CGGGCTTCTCTGATCTGGGGCCAGCGTGGCCTTCCGCGACAACACATACTACATGAAAGTCCATGGACAAACAATGCCTAAGGCGGGACTCGAACCCGCGACCCTTCGGACCGAAATATAACTCAATAGTGGTACTAAATAATTGAAAAGTGAGACGGATACCATTTCAACATTTTGTAACTTAATTCGTGAATGAAAATCGCATTCCTGCACAAATTATTTTTTTTGCTTGGACGATTCAAGTAAAAACACAAGAAAATATTCGAGTATCTGCGTCTTCTTGTTTTAATCCGTTTGTTAATATGAATTCTTTGTTCTCGAACGAATGAAATTTAACGAGGGCGGCGTCTTTCGCATTTACTAAACCTCATAAATTTGCGAAGCGAAATACACTTTGATGTTGAATGTTCTACCCCCCGGCGGTCCCAAACTCTGCCACAGAGTTGTAGGTACTCCTAGCACTAAAATTACACGAACAACGTAGTGGATGATTCTGCAAAAGAGTGAGAGATAGAGCAGTCGTCGTTAGCGGTTAGTAGTCCTAAACTGTACCAGTATAGTGCAGGTAATATAAGCGCAGAAAATATAAAAGTAAAATTTCTTTGATGCAACTCATTTTTGTACGATTTATTCATATAAAGTTAATGTGCATTAATTCATTACGAATTAAGCGATTACATCGTTAATGGTCACTAGAATATTTCAATTTGCTTTTAGTTATTTCAGCAGTGTGAAAAGAAATGCTGTTTGAGGTTGAACATTTCATCGATTAATTGTGAACTACGCAGCTAATTAATCGCGAGCGCTTCTCCGTGTTGGACGAGCTCCCTGAGGCGAGTGGGATCCTGCACCGCCCACGGGACTCCTGCGCCCGGGAAGTTCGCTTTAACTTAGGAGTTCCGCCCTGGGCTGTGATTCCTAAAACTTGTTTGCTTCCGCTAATTTTCTCTTTAACCCTTAACGCTTGTCTTGTGTCAATTCCATCCATCGACACAGTGGCCCACAACAGGAGCTTTCCATTTGAATGCAAAAAAATGGAGTCATGATCTCGTGGTTGTTCGATTTCAATCTCTTTATATTATCCTGCAATAATCCCTTACAGTCAACGCAGGTAAAAGATTAATTAATGACGCTACAGTGGATCGTTATCCTACCATAAAGACTCAAATGAATCAACCGGTCATTATAATTAGCATGTTGCTCGTCGACTTCAAACGCATTTGGTATCTGCTGACGTACAGGCTCGTCTATAGCCAGCCAAATCGATGTTGATCTCCAGGGCAGTTTGGAACTTATGGCAGCCTTTGAGGATGTCGTACTCGCGTTGCAGTAAAAGGAGTACAAGAGGAGAATAAAGAATGAGATTAACAACCGTTTAGAGGCATCGTAAGCATAGGTGTGTTTGGAAATGAATTCATAAGGAAGCCAGAATGAATATTGCAAAGCAGAGGGGAAAGGGAGAGAAATGCGGCGTCTGACATGCTAAGAATAAAAGGGAACGTGCGACTATAAAAAGACACAAATACGAGACCGACGAGTTTAAAAAGAAAAGAGAGAGAGAGAGAAAGATGCTGACAAATGACCGGAATGATGACGAGGTAAAATAGTTTTCGTCGTTGCCAACGTCCTTCACGCTCAAATTACGTTTTCACTTGCCTTTGGCGTCTAACTACACAGCTGAGGCGGTCCTTTTGGTATGGGCACAGACATTCTGAACTAGAAAATTGTCGTTAGTTCTGGAATTTAATAATTTGTTTAATACGGCTAGTCATGACAAACAAATTATAAATGTAAAAAATTAAGAACCTTTGAGGAATCGCAATTTATATATCAATATGGGGTCGCACTGACAAATGTTGATACTTTCTGATATGTTAAGTGTAATAATTTGATAGTTCTGAAGTATCATTTCCAAACATTCATTATTATAATTTCATTTGTAAAGTTGGAGCCTATTTCAATATTTTCAAAGTTTATGAGAACGAAAATGGGAATTTCATATAGTTGCTTCAGTACAAGTGAGTAAACATAAATATTTTCTGACAAGTCGACCAAAATCGAGAACACTTGGTATGTCGTCAACTTTTCTTTTAACACACCAACGTTTTATTTTCAGTCACAGATTCACTTCAACGAATCTCGTTCATCCAAATGCGTTTTCTACAGAAAAACTAGGACAACGAAGGAGAATAGAACGAAGGAAATTAGATGGTCACTAAGATAATAAGATGGATTCATCGATTTACCAGAGCCAATATCATCTTTTCTCCTTCAACAAAAGCGCTAGAATGAAGTAAGGGACACAGAATAAGAAAAAAGAGACATCCAGCTTTTATTCCTTGTCGTGCCGTACGTGAAGGAATCGTCTCACTTCCGCCAGAACATGGAGAACGATCACGCGAATCCACGAACAAAATGGCGTTAGCGAAATGCTTTTAAGTCGCTGTCGAAGTTTCACCATGCGTGTACAACGGGAGGACGAGGCTACGTCTTCCGTCGCTGGCTGTTGACACAAAACATCCTTCAGTGTGGGCAAGGCATTTTGTGCCAAAATATTTTGTTAAAAGTTTATATTATAATTAAGTATTTTTAAAAGTTTATTAAGAAAAAACGAATTCACAAATTTTAATAAAGAGACTGAACAACAATAGTTCGAAAATAGCCGTAGATTGAGCAATTGATTTTGACTGATGATTGAGCTGTTGGTTGAGGAGAATCTTTTGTATCTCTTGTCATAGAACATCTCCACAAATTCTAAATTCTTAACACCCAAAATAATATGCATGGTATAAATATTATCTCTCTTTCTCTCTCTCTCCCTCTCTCTCCCTCTCTCTCCCTCCCTCTCTCTCCTCTCTCTCTCTTCTCTCTCTCTCTCTCTCTCTCTCTCTCCTCTCTCCTTTCCTTTCTTTCTTTTCTTTCGTTCTTTCTTTCTTTCTTTCTTTCTTTCTTTCTTTCTTTCTTTAATCTTCCTCTTATTCTTTCTTTCTTTCTTCTTCTGGTGGGGCTCTTACTTTCGTGAAACGATATTGTGTTGTTGGAAAAAAAAATTTAATACAACTCAGTCATTGAAACATACATTCGTACAAAACGCACGAAATTAAAAGTGGCCACGTTACCACAAAAGTAAGCACGCAAAAGTAGGTTCAACCAAGTACATTGAAGTCACGGAACTGTACCCTTGTGCTCGTCTGTCGTTATTCGCTTTGAACCTCTGATCTCGCGGCGTTGATAGTCGATTAAGGAAGGGGGAAGGTTAAGGGATAATACAGAAAAAAGAACTAGATTTGTCATCAACTCGCGTGCATTACCCTCTTCTCACCTCCCCTCGCCCACACTCCTCCTTCCCTCCCACCCCTCTCCACCCGTGGCTTATCGCCGCCGGCAGCCTTATCGCTCGGGAATGCTCCCTCCCCCTCCCGCTCCGCAACTCGCAGTGCGCCCCCAGCCCCGACGGAGCCCGTGTCGCCAGAGCAGCTGCAAGAGAGCTTGTGCGCTGCCCCGTGTGCTTGCATGACTCGAGGGCCCGTCCGGCCGCCGCCGCTTCATGCATTGCGTGTGCCACACTCTGCTCGTCCTTCTCGTCGTCCTTTGGACGCTGCTCGTGCAAGTAAGCTGTTGCGTGGTTGAGGTTCTGTATTTTGAAGAAGATATGTGTGCCATGGTGGCGTCCGTTGGCGAGGCAAGTGGTCATCTTTGCGTTAGAATGTGTGACGTGTGCTGAAGGGCATTTGCTTTCGCATCGAGAACACTAATCTGTATAATTGTCGACTGCGTTTTAAACGTTCCCGGTCTTGTTGATAAAGGAACTTGATAATTCGTTTTACTACAATTGTGTACCAACACAACAGAAAATAAGAAATCTTTCAAAGAAACTCAAATATATTGATTCTCAGTAGTTTAACATTGTGCAAGAGAGACAAAACAATTGTTTGAAAGATTTGCGATATTGGGTTATAGTTAAGTTTCGAAAAAAAAATCAAAATTTCATTGGAAGGTCAAGACCACAGTGACATAAATGGATATGTCATTTGTCATAGAGCATTAGAAAATCTGTATATTGACGTGAATTAATAATGAACGAAATGGAACAAACGTATATTCTTAATTATTTGACTGACTATTGTAAATTTAAAAATTGCGAAATCTCTTCTTTGATAAAATTACGTTCCATAAAACTTTTTTGTGCCTGGGAGGCGTGTATATTGATGTATCGCGAATGACAATGCAGGTGCTCTAGTACTGGTCCAAACACCATCAGTAGCACCCCACTCTTTCTTCGGGGAGGGGAGTAACCGGTCCAGGCGCTCCGCCCCGCCCCGCCACGCCTCGCCCCCAGCCGCGCACGCTCCGCGCAGATTCGAAAGTGCGCGTCGCGACTCGTCCGTCTCGACGCCCGGCCTCCGCCGCCGCTTTCCTCCACTCATCCGCCGCCGCTGGAAGGGGACATGATGGACGCGCCATTTTGTTCCACTTTTCGTTAAATTGCGTTTGCTGAGAAAAAGCCGCGTTGCTAGTGTTGGAAATCGGATTAATGAACGCTATGCCGAGAGAAATCCCACCCCACCTGTGTCCGACGACGAAGTAAGAGCGGCGTCCGGCTTCGGGGCGTCCTTCGCCCTCGGGCGCATCGCCCGGGGCGATAGAGCCCCGCTCTTCCTCTCCCCCCTCATTCCCATTGCCCATTCGCCACCCCGTTGCAGTCTTTCTCCTCGCGCCGCGGTGGTAACAAGGCTGGGCAAAAAGATGGGGTTCCACAAGGTCCAGCAATTCAATTCCGCGCCGGTCGACGAGCCGGCAAATCTCGCGTTGGCCACGCAGGCCCCACCATTACAACCGTCGGAAGCTGTATGTCTGCGCGTCGCCTCGTGTCGCTCGCGGGCCGTCCCCTCCTCTCGCCGCCCCCCTCACCCGGCTCCCCGTGGGGACGATGAGCGATGGTGACCGCGGCGGGAATCCGCTTACTTTTGACGGTTAATTATCTGCGAGGTTTTGTGCAGGCGAGCAGTTTTTCTCGGCGGCCAGTCGTCTGCCTGGACGAGGCGGTTGAGTCGGTTGAGGTGGTGGAGTCGGTTGAGTCGATGAGGCCGGAGCCGTGGACGCGGGCGCGCCCGTGCTCCCTTGTCTCGCCGTCTAATGGCCGCAATTTGGGCGTGCGGGCCGAGCGCGCTACAAGGCGTTTCCGGGCGCGCGAGCCGTGTCTTGGGCAGAGCTTCCCTCCGCCTCCCATTACGGCGACCCATGTCAATAAAGCCATCGGTGCTTCCCAGTTTCCTCCACTTCTGCTGCCAATTTCCTTTCACCCTTTTCTTTCTTTACGTTTCATTTTTTTTATTACTTGTCTTAATATTGGTTTTCTTTGATATTCCTACAAGCCTTTTCCCCTTTTTTTCTTCTTAACTCTTTTTTCTCGCATTTTTTAGATTCAATTTATAATATTTTCTATTCTCACAGCTGTTACGTTAATACTGCCAGTTCGCAGTCTTCTATTCTAACCGTAATATTTATATACGCAGAATTTCTTGTCTTGCCGATGTCAAGGTGAAAGCCGGTTTTTCTATCGCGATGGCGTCTATTTGCGGCCGCGATGAGATGGCATTCATTGTGTTACGAGGGGAACGAATTGCGGTAGGTTTGTTAGGCGCGTTGATAAACTTATGTATTTTCAAATGATATTAGGTTGTTGAACACTCGCGCATTAATGAGAAACTAATGTGTTATCAAGAAGCGTACTTCTAAATTTGTGTCCACGATGAGAAAAAACTATTAAAATTATTAAATAAGAAAAGCATAAAAGCTACTGACCACTCAGAATCTTAGAATTTTCTTAGCGTACATTTCCATATTTTATCGTTTTTATTATCAGCGTTCACTTTTAAAAATAACGCAGGGTATCTCTATCTAGTTTTTTTAGCCAAACAGCTCTGAAAATCCAATTATCAGAAATATCGAATGAACGTAATAATTCGACTTGTAACACAAAAATAAGATTCTATGTGAAACTTTTACTTAAACGCAAAATGTGACAAAGCCATCGATAAGTGCTTATTTAAACGCTAAAATATGGTAAAGACTCAGTATCTGTACGCCACACCCACCATTGGTATAACATACATATTTTTATGATAAGGGTAATGATATATAAAACGGTAAATATAATTTAATTACTTGGAGTTTGTTGAAACTAGTGTCCTGCTGCGGTAAAAATGTTCTGTTGAACAAAAATCTAGAATCTCGTATACTTCAACAAATTAAATATTTTAAGAAAATCAGTCGTTACGAATACTACAATAACATAGTATGATACATACACACTGCAATCGTTCTTAAGATTCCATGAATATGAAAAATGTTACTGTTCCATAACGCGACTCGTGAATAGCAAATATTTAATGGCCGGCGATCTCTTCCTGAAAGCCTTGCTGCCGCATGACTCCGATGTTGTAAGTAATGACGCTCTAGCACTGACAATGTGAATTAATTAGGTAGTACACGTACTACGAAAATAGACGGAAAAATTCAAACAAATATTTGCATTTTTCAATCAAAATCGAAACTGTTACTTTTTGTATTTTTTCCCGAATTCCTGATTGAACAAAACAATAGTACCTTCGTAAATAGTCATGGGTTGCATAGTTTTCTCTTAATTTCTGCGCTTTGAAAATTAGCAATATAGAGCCTGGCTCCTCAGAACGTAGGGTACGCCAAGACAACATTGCCGCGAAGTATTTTCTTACCTTGATTCGAGAGACGTTATCTGACAAGGTGAATCAACTTGGGCAAAAAGTGTGATTCGAGCTCTCGCCTTTGAGAATGATTAAGAGTTAATGCTAAACATGCTCGCGAATGAAGATGATGTATAAAGATTGGAATCGAAAATACTTATGGCTATGTTGTGCTTTGGATGAATATTGATCGGATGAATTGAAATGTTGTTGAAAAAAAATAAGTCGTATAGATTCTTGATAGAACATTCACATTGGCTCCGGCACTGGACTATGCTAGTTCCTCAGCTCATCTCATCACCTCGATGCAGCCTAAAAATGAACTTTTCAGAAGTGTGAGAATGTAATTCTTGTATTGGCTTGTTCATAATATTTGTCGCCTCCGAAAATAAAATTACGAATGTGTGCATATAAGTTGAAGCATATGTTACGGAGCATAGTACACTTTCTTGACAAGTGACACGTTCGAAACTAATAAAACCTGACGAACTGAAGAATTTTACACTTATTTCATTTTTTAACGAGGATTTACTTACGTCAACTAATCCCAGGTTAGAACTCACAGCTAAAATATGATTTCTATTCTGTGAAATGTGCTTGAGAGCCCCACAAAAAATTCATAAACGTAACATGCGTTTTTATATTATTTTAACATTAACAAAGCCCATTTCAACTTCAAATTTAACTTTTGTTTTGAACTTGCATTTTATATTGAAGCTGATTGACATGATTGCTTTGCCCATTTTTAGAAATTAAATAGTATTTTTAATGTTATGGTGAAGGTAGTTAATTTGGGGTTTTCATAGTTTTTTGACAATTGCTTTTTGTTTCAGGTAAGTGAGCGACCATTGATGCACTGGTGCAGTGTTGTAAGTACTATATTTTACCAATAGTCATACGTACGGATGTTAGTGAAGAGTAATTAGCGATACTCAGTTTTATATACGAATGAACTTAAAATTTATTAACAAATTATTACTTATTTTGTTATAAATATGGTGATAGTAAAGTCTAAGCATTTAATTTTCAACTGCATTCCTAAATCAACTCAACTGTCGTAAATTGTTCAGGTCATACAATGCTGTCATGGGTACAGTGTTTCGTTTTAGAACTGCATAGTGATTAAATTGTTTTTCATACGTTGTTAAGAATGAAGGTACAGAAAACGTTGTAGAGGTGATGTTCGTGGAGATGAACACACATTATGACATTAACTGATGTGCCAGTGCTGATCTAGTTTTGATTACTTTTAGGTACCTTTCTTTAACGTTCATTGGGATTCTTGTATTCTCCGTCTCGTGCCATAACGATTACGATGCACTTTCCAATGTGAATGTTCGTCTAGTAAACATTAATCTAGTCTGTCCAGTAAAAATTAATCGAATGAAATTTTGGATCATTTCATTTCTTTTCAATAAAAATAAATGTAGTCATTTTGATACCTGAATAAATAAAGATAAAAGTCCATCTAGATCCTTGCTACCCCTCAAAGCAAGAGATAAGATTAATCTGCTACATTAGATGGTTAACTGCTTTGTTTTAGATAATACTCAATCCATTGAAAAACATCTTCTATTCAATTACTTTTGTGTGCGAGAATCTCCTAAATTATTTCGCTTTATAATTTTTTGTAATGTCAAATAGGTCAAGCTAAAGGCAAGGTTCACAATCTTTCAGGAGCTAACTGCTCCTGTATCGCCGGTGGGGAGAACAAGTAAATGACTTACCGCATGTGATTTACCTCATAATTGCTACGTTTGTCCTGGAGTTCGCAAGTGCGGTCACTAGAGCAAGCTAGAAGATAAATACTGGCGTGTTCCCTCATTACCCTCGAATCCATTACACTCTCCTTGATCGGCGAAATGCACAAGCGCCTCGCGGGCGGGAGGCTGGAAAGCTGTCGGAACTCGTCCGGGTGGCGGAGAGGGGTGAGGGGAAGGGACGGAGAGGTCGGTCGCCGCCCACGCACGGAGAGAGCGCCCGACGCTGGAGGGCGTGCCCATAGCAACGGCACCTCTAACGCTTGTTCGCCTCTTGCCGCCCGTCGCTCCTTGCCGTCCCGTCCGCCCTCCTTGCCGCCCCGTCCGCCCCTCACCTGTTTCATCCTCCTTCCCCAAGTTCTTTCTCCCTCTCCGCAGCGACGCCAGTCTGGCCGAAGCGAAGCATGGAGCTCTATCAGCCTTCATTAATCAACGCATCGTGTTGAGATGTTTTCTAAGTGTCTTGCTTCTCGTTGTATTTCTGCTGGGGACCGCCGCTCCTTGCTAACTATTGGCACAATTGACTGTTCGGAATGGTGGGGCAACGGAAGGCGATTGGTCGACAAGGAGCTCGGACTATATGTTAGCTCGTCGCTATCTAGCATCAAATCATTACGTATATCTCCTTCTACAACCCAGTATTACTTTCTACTACTTTATATACTTATCTTCTTTTCCTAGCTCTCCTTCCTCTTAACTCTTCATTGGCGTTTTCTTGTTTTCGTTTCTTTAATAATTTTCTCATTTTTATCCATTTTTTATTATATTCCCACCCACTTTTGGGAGGTCTGGGCATTCCCGCATTTGCAGAACTTTGTCACTCCTTTCGCTGCTTATAGCTAGAAAGAGAAGGATGCTCTCGATATTCAGGCTCGGTCGATAGTTACTGACGTCAGCAAGAATCGTTAATCACTTGGGAAGAACGCAGCGCCCGCTTTCTGCATCTCACCGCACCCCTTCTCGTGAAAATTCTGTTTCTATCTGCGTTATTTTATTTCAAATAAATAAATACAAGTTAGATATAACGTACATATATGTGTACAATGTTTTGTATCTTTTTTCATAAACTGATATGTGCGACAATTACTGCAAATTCGAAATAATACATGCTTATGGTTGTCTTCTGCGAAAACAATTGAATATTTTATATTGTTGAGGCTGAAATTATGATGAAAGGTCTTTCTTTCGTTTGACACTAATTTGAGTGAATTGAGCAAATTGACGTGTGCGGCGACATCTCGATGACATCCTGTTGAAGACAATGAAGTTTATTACCTTGTTTCATTCACTTCAACGAGACAATGGTTGAATGTTTCCATTTGTTCTTTTTGGCAGTCTCCTCTGCTGTGACAGAAATAACTGCCGTCATCGTAATCGTACGAGACCATTTCAGAACGATGACAGAGGCACTTAAAACGTGTCGTACAAACTTCACGTACGTTAAAATGCTATCAAGGTGACGAGCAGCGTGTTTTCTCGAACGAGCGCGTTTGCTGTATATATTGTGACATTACATAGCGTAATCGTGGAATCGACGGCTGGAGTGTTTACACAGCGTGAAGAACATCGCTCCGAAACACGGGTGTAGACACGCGAGGTTTCGTATCGCGCGATGTTGTCTTATCTGCGAAACGCCTGGAAAACCGCAGCAGGGTGAAGGGCGCCTGCACTGCACTTTGCGGTTGCATTCAACGCTCTCTGCACATCGGTGTGACGTGCGAGGTGAGCTCTTGCTGATGGCGACGGGAACGGGGTTTGCGCCTATTCAGTTTGTTGGTGGGTAAATACAGAACGCAAGACCGATCAGAATACCTGTTGACATGAATAATTTTTCTAAATAATTTAGTGAACCTCTGAACTGTATTTTGAATTTGGGATGCAAATAGCATTTAGCTTGATTGAATTAAAGTGTAAATAATGTTTAAAATATGTGCACGTGAGGTATTTTAGTTAAAAAGAAACATAAAATTTAAGAACTGCGTTAAATGAACACATATAATTAAAATATGCTGTAAATGTCTCCTTCCTATTTGGCCATTTTTTTCAGATGTAATTGTGTACTAACAATTAGCTCGGAATGCAGCAGCTGATGATGACAAAGTTCAAGGAAACTGAGTAGGAAAGGTATATATGTTAAAGTAAATCCCGTAGTTTGAAGAGCAAAAAAATTGTCAATTGCAAATGAGTTACAATGGGCAAGAATATTGATAACATAGAGCATTTTTTTAGAAATGAGTAATAACTAGGAGAAAGTATCGTATTCCTTACGAAAAGAGATTTGTATTCTCCAAGGCGCATTACTTACCTTTAAATTTGTCTTTTAGTACGTAATAACGAGGAAAGAATTCTGTGACGTCTTATCTCGAATTGGAAGTAGTAAATGGCGCGAGGAAAACATCGCAAGTACGATGGTGGTTTCTGGCACAATTCTGGTTCCATTATCCAGCTCCCGTGCCCGCGGGACACGCAGATCCCCTCGAAGAACTTGCTAGCAGGACCTTAGAAAGCGGGATCAAAGGAGCAGACGAGCAAGGGAAGAGCGTCGTTCCGAACGCGCTCGCTTGCTCCCGTTCCATTGGAGCCTGCCGGGCGCACTGGTAGCTTTCCAGCGGGCTATCTCCCATCTCTTCTATTAGCCCGCCTTCCGGCCGCCGCCGCCACCGATGCCGATTGCATTTCGCCTTTCATCACCTGTCAGGCCCCGCCGCCAACGCCACCCTCGCCGCCACAATCATCCCATCGGCCGCAGGTCCGCTTCAGGCATCACTCAAGGTCCAGAACCTGGACCCAAAGGGTCGCGGCTCCGTGCCCGGTGTCGAAAGAAACGTCATCCGCGTCTTTCGGCGGTGTTGCCGCCGCCGCCATCGGAGAAAGCCGCGCCGATGCGTTGGCCGATAATTGCGAACAATTGCCGGCGGTATCGGGCTCGGATGAAATTGATTGGGTCGGCGGGCGCGGGTGTTCCTCGGCGTGTCCCTCCACGGGGCCCGCGGCGAACGCGGGGCGTCCCGGGCCCATCGCTGGCGAGAAGAACGCGTATTAGTATAGTGACTGCTGAATAACTTGACCGGGATTGTAATTGGATGGCATGGGCAGCTAATAACACTTCATTGTGACCTAGAGAAGTGATTTGAAAGGTCAGCGTTCTTTTAAGAGGCGTATATAGATATTTCAATGGAGTGTTTGAACACTATCATAAGTACAGTATAACGTATAATTACAAGAATGAAGGATTTTATTTTCCAAACGAGGAGAAACTGTTTTCGCTGCTTTCAAACGTCTCAACATTCACTTATAAAGAGAACTTGAAAACGATACATACTATTACAAATGAAATGATAGATGTACTATTAAAGGAATAAGTAGGTAATTAATTTCTGATTTAGCTTTTCAATAAAATGAATACTGAATATAACTAGGGGTTAAAAAATCAGGTGGTGGAGAGAATAACTGAAAGTGTCAAAGGTGTCTGCAAGTGTAATTCTATAAATATCAATGTTTATTATTTGAGATGCTAGTAAATAAATGAAATTTCATTTAGGAATATCTCGATAGATCAATAGCAATTTTGCGAGAAAATACGAATTAGTAGGTATGAGGTGACGTGTTGCGACAGCGGTTGAGGCGTTTCGATCGAGCCATTTTCCGGGACTTGTTGCTTGTGTCACTCGTGTGTAATTGTGCGGACATCCACCCGACTGCGGTAGAGGGAAGGGGAACGGACGTGTACAGTGTGTTGACTGCCATTACCGCCTCCCACCACCACCACCACCACCACCACCACCACCACCACCACACCCGCCCCGCTCCGCCCCGCTCCGCCCCGCTCCGCCCCGCCCCGCTCCGCCCCGCTCCGCTCCGCCCCGCTCCATCCCGTCCCGCTCCGGTGACTCAGCGCGTTCGCGGAACAGGCGCTCCGCCCGTTTTTCCGCGCGTGTCGCCGCCGTGCGGCGACGCGTTGCCTAGGGCGTCGTAGCGCGTCGTCGCGTCGTTACCGGACGCGTCGCGCCTCGCAGACCGGTTGAGGTGACCAGAAGGGAATGTTGTGTTGCAGTCTTCGCGGAAGGTTATATTTAGAAAGTTACTGCTCGCTTGTAAGATATGGGTAA